GCTGGGACAGTTTCTCCCGCAGTCTGAGGCCCTGCTGCTCCCCACGCCGGACATCCGCCTCCAGCTGCAGGCAGCGCTGCTGCAGCCGCGAGCCCTTGGGGGGGGGGGGGGGGGTTAAAGTCCATCTGCAGGAGCCAAGGACGGATATCCAACCCCACCCACATGCAAGGCGGCCATTTTGATTAGGTCACCAATAGGAAGATCCCAGGCAAGAAAATCCTAAATGCTTCATGGCAATATAGACATTTATTAAAAAATGGTTAAATTAATCTTGAAAATACTGAATTAAACTCTATACATAATATTAGGTTCAAATAGTGGATGTTAAATAGGTTTGTACAATAAGTCCAACGTAATTTAACCAAAAATATATTTATTTCTCACAGTTATGAAGGCTGGAGGGTCAGGGTCAGGACATCGTTTGTCTTCCGATTTCGTATAGACATTAAATTTTCGTCTCCACCTCAGAAAGCTGCTAGTCACATGACCTAATCAAAATGGCCGAATTGGATGTGGGAGGAGTTGGATATCCAACGGAGGCTCCAAAGGGCCCCCCCCCCCCTCGCTCACTTTGACCCGCTCTCGTCTCAGCAGGTCCTGCAGCCGGGCCAGCTGCTCGTCCTGCTCTCTGAGCCGCTCCTGCAAGAAACAGGAAGCCAAGGGTGGATATCCAACCCCGCCCACAGCCAAGTCGGCCATTTTGATTAGGTCACCAATAGGAAGATCTCAGGCAAGAAAATCGGCTCAAATAAAAATATGAAGGGCAAACTGCAATTTGATGGTCTGTAAAATTAATCGACCATAGAAAGTTTTAAATACGGCATATAAAACTGCATTCGCATTATTTTCAATGACTTTACGGTCTTTACGAAAAAATAAGATAAAAGGTGTCCTAACCCTAACCCTCCACACTTCATAATTGTGAGAAATAAATACTTTTTGGTTAAACTTGTTTGGACTTATTGTACAAACCTATTTAACGTCCACTATTTTAACATAATATTATGTATAGAGTTTAATTCAGTGTTTGCTAGATTCATTTCACTATTTTTAAATTAATATCTATATTGCCATGAAGCAATTAGGATTTTTTTGCCTGGGATCTTCCTATTGGTGACCTAATCAAAATGGCGGCCTTGGATGTGGGAGGAGTTGGATAGGCTGCTCCTATAAGTTTGGGTTGTTTTTTGTTTGTTTTTTAACCCACCTGGAGTGGCTCCTCCTGGTCCTCCTCCCTGCAGCCAGCCCACCAGGAGCTCTGGCTGGGCTTCTTCAGTGGGTTTAGATCCCCGAACATGTCTGTGTCTGAGGTGCGACACAAGCCAAAGAAGGCATTAAAAAAGAAATAAATAAAGGTCCCAAAAGGCAGAGATCCCGGATCCCGGATCCCAGCTCAGGAACTCACCCGGGTTCTCCTCAAACCTCCGCTGGCCAAACCAGGAAGCCATCCAGTCCTCGTACGGCTAAAACACACTTTTCCAGTCACAATAGTTTAGTTTTAACTTAAACTGGCTCGTTTATCCCAGGTGACGACACTTGAGCTGATTGCTCACAGCATAGCTCACCAATCAGGCCGATTTCCTCTTAAAACTCCAGGTTTTGGTAACCAGATCCCATCTAAAGGTCCCCTAGTGAGTCTTTTTGCTCACATAGAATGAGCAGATAAAATAAATACAGCCAGTATGTGGAATTATCATGAGATACAAAGTTGAGTTTTAAAATACAAACCAGTCTGTGGCATTGTGCCCCCCCCCAAAAAACACAGGAATAAAAACGTGCATTTCCGACATGTTTTTATTTTTTTTCCATACAAATATACTGTATTTAATCAATGAAATCTTGCATGTTTCACTTCTTTCTTTCACTTACTAAACTTTCGGTCATAAAAGGAGTCAAACATTTAAAATCCCACACATTAAAATCTGGTTTTTGAGTCGATTCAAAACCTCATAATTGTCTGATTAAAGGAATTTAACCCAAACTATCACCTAAAAAACTGCAAAGTGAAAAAAAACAAAGGAAGTTTGATTCCAGTGTGAAAAACAATTAATGCGACAAATCACTGCAGCTCAGTTTATTAAATACAAACAATAAAGAAGGATTTCAACAGGCATAAAGAGAAAAATACATTAAATTTTCTACCACCGTACAGTGGTAGTCTAAGGCCTTCATTTGTTTTCTTTATGGAGATACAAGCTAACAATAGAAACTGTTTTAAATATATATTAATAGAGGCAGGCTGGAATTAAAGGCGATTCAACCATCAGATGCTCCGAAACCGGCAGGGTTGGTTTGTACCGTGTGGTAGTACCTCAAGGTAAAATAACACATTCTCAAACACACGAGTAGTTTAAGGCACCAGTGTAGCTGGAAAGGTAGCACGTTGCTCGTTGGCCATGTAGTTCCACGTAAATTTAATGTTTATCTGTAGTGTTACAGGGAGACGCAAAAGTGGACAGTGCTTCTATTCCTGATTAGAACCTGGTTTGAACACACGAGGGTCAATTTGGACCCAAAATAAAGAAGGAACTTCCACAAATATTTACGTTTGAGGCTGGAAAACGAATACTGTCGAAGCGAGTGGACTGAGCCTGGACGCGTGAGGCGTGAGTAAACTGGGGTTAATGATTAGTCGGGTTAGCGTGGAGCACGTCTGCTCGTTTGGTGAACGTGTAGTTTGGCCCTGCTTTGAGGTGACAGATGGGAGTTATTATACCATTAGTTTTGGCAAACAGGTGGACACCCACACCCCCCCAATCCCACCCCAGCACCGTGTGCGTCGTCCCGGGAGACGAGCCGGCGGGTCCGAGATGAGGTTATTATCCAGAGAAGAAGAAAGACTTTGCAGACAAATCCAGAAATCCTTCGCGTTCCTCCAGCTGCGGACAGAAACAGAGGAAATTAGATAAGGCCTCGTGTTTATGGTTGAATCAGCCCACTGGCTCAATGTCAGAGGGACACTTTACATTTCCTGTTTTGGGCTCTGTTTGCAGCTATTTCAAACACATTTCAAAAGAAAACCTGAATCCTCTTTTCTTTTGTATTTAGGTATAAAAAAAATAAGCTCAGTGATTTTAGCCTTGTGTTGTGATCCAGGAAAAAAAAGAAAAGAAAAAAAGCCATAAACAGTAACTTCAGAAAAGATGGAATATGCAATCAGTCACAGCAAATTAAAGGACTTATTCTAACTGGAATAAACAGATAGATCTCACTGCAAATCCCCAAGGGGATTAGGACGATAAACTAAACAGCCTTCAAGTCAACACAAAGCAGATTTAGTTGGAAACAAACAATATTTCTTAAGACATTTGAGGGAAACATAATGAAAGGGCTGAAACTGTTAAGTCAGACTATTTTCTTTCACATGATGCAACGGGGCACCATGTATATTGTGCAAGATAGAGCTGACCCCACCCCTGAGACTGCATCATTACAGACAGACATCAAGGTTACATTAACACCAGAAAACTGCCTCCTTCATGGAAATACTTTTTCAGTGTCCACTTTAACCACACAAAGGTTGCATGTAGGGCATTAAGAGTGAACCCCAGAGACCACTAAGCTCCCCAATGTGGTGCTGTGATTAAAATAAACTATGATGTGTTTTATCTTGTGTCTTATTTGAGCCTCCCTGTGGTCACTGATCAGGATGCAGACACTCCCCCCTGCTCCGTTCCCGTCAGAAATTAATCATCTTTAAGCAATAAGTCATGAACCCAAGCCAAGTCAAATGTTCCTTAATGGTAAATAATCAGTTAAAATATCAAATGAATCTTCTAGTTACAGTCATCTGCTTTTACCTTTCTCCAAAGTTGTTTTTTTTTTTGTTCTTTACTGTAAATTGGTTATATGTGGGTGGTGTGTTGTTGACTTTACAGAGCAGGTAATCTTTGTAAGCTGTCAGTAACTTTTTGTCCTCTAAAGAGTGTTTTGAAAGCCCAAATTTACTTTTAGTTGATCACTTCACCCACAAGTCATGACCAATTTAAAACATTGCTTTAAACACATTTGCCATATGCAATGGGACAGTGTTCATTTCATCACTGTATATCCATCCATCCATTATCAATACAAACGATTAATTTCACACAAAGAAAAAAAGATAATATGAAACTTTTGACATCACAGTTAGGCATTGTACAGTAACTTTAGCAAACTACAACCATTATACCCCATCGTTAGAAATATTTTAACCCACAAATACAGACAGCAGGACAAAGATGCCTTATTCCCAGTAGTGTTTATATTTGCTGGATTATTTGAATACCTCATATCCGTTTTGCTGTAAAGACATGAACTGATGTTTATTTAAAAGGAACTTAACTCTTAGTAAACAATTTTACTGATTATATTCTGTATTAATATTAGCAACATTAATTTAGTTTATATCCCAAACTGACTACTGTGGGGACAATAAGAGTATTCAAAGGTGGTAATACTAGCTAAAACTATCCGTTTACACAGGGCTAACAAGTGGGGTTTCCATAAATGATTCATTTAGTGAGAACTTATCATAAAGGTGGCGTTAAGCCCCTCTCTTGTGAGATAAACTGTCAAAATGATGAACCTTGTGGGTGATCGCAGAGAGCCGGCCCACCTCAGAACAGAGAGCAGGACTTGGGGGGTCTGAAGGGGTTATCGCTGGAGGGGACCCCCATCAGGAGGGGGTCCTTGGAGGCGTTCTGCATGCAGAAGTTTTTCAGGTCGGCGGCCGCCTGGGACACCTGCACGGACACACAAACACCGCCATTAACGGACTCATTTGCCTGAGAGCTCCGGCACCGCTCCTCCTCTCATTTACCTACACGGAGCTCTGTTTTTTTTTTTTTTTTTTTTTTTGCATAACGTTCGCAAAGCAACGGAGCACCGCTGGCGAATGGGTGTGTCTGCCATGTTTCCCGTTCCCAGAAACAAGTTTCCCCTAGCGACCAACGGCCGGACGCTGCCCAACGGCCCCCTTCTGCCCCCTTTGAGCCGTTGGCGCTTCCAGTTAACGGTTTCAACTGACCAACTGACAGCCGTTACACACACACACACACACACACTCACTCACTCACTCACACACATACACACACACCGGGGCCGTTGGCGAGTCCGTTGGCGTTTCGACCACGGCTCGTCTCCGCCATTCAACTCAAGTCTTCCGTGTTTGTTTTCGTCGGTGAGGGGTTCGTACCTTGATCCTCCTGTGGCTGGCCTCGTACCGGAGCTGCTTCACGGCCCTCTGGGCGAGAATTAAGTTGTTGCTGGAGTTGTTGTTGGACATGGCGACCGTAAGTCTGTGTTTCTCCCCCTCCGTGAAAAAAAGCCCCGCAGCGCAGCGGAAACGAGCCCAAACTGCTCCGACTCGATTGGGAAATAAAGCTAACTTGTTGCCCCGCCCCCTTTTACGTTACCGAGCCCGGCGATTGGCCCCTGGGGGCCGTCAATCACAAAGTAAAGGCAGGAACCCGCCCCTGGGACCACGGCCCGCTCCGGGTTTCCTCGAGAGCAGGAGAGTTCCGCGCGACCTTCACGCGCAGTAAATCTAATTGAGTCCAATTTGACAGCACCTTTAACGAGATAAGGAAAACCTGCAGAGTTTAGAAACTCCCGAGTAACAGGTGGGCACTGAAATACATGTTTGAACAAGAAACAGACGTGAGAACGTCTAATTCTGAATGGAGACACCAGTTGAAGTCAGATTAAGTTAATTTATTAAACAATTTATTAACCATTCGCCCACCTACCTTTATCCCTTTTCCCTTCCCTTCAACACGTCATCCCACATAATGTCCTTATCCTTATGTCTTTTAATACATTCCTGATCCTACTCTTTCTTCAGCTACCATCTGGAGTTACTTTAGTCTCCTTCTCATCAGATATAATTTAAAAGTATACTCTTTGTTATATAATAAAACCATTAAACCCACAAAACTGATGGTTGCTCTATAGTTGAGATATAAAATGGCAACAACAGGTGGCACCAGAGTCCAAGTCAGTGGCTCAAAATGTAAATTTACCATCCTCACCATGAAGTAGATGCAGAAGCTGTGTCCTTACTTTCTATTACACCAGATTGTGATTTAAAAGATGAAAATGTGTCGAAATTATTTCATGTTTCATGTGATAGAAATTGTGTCAGCAACAGAGAAAATAAACAAACACCAAAAAGAGTAAGGAGTACATATTTTTGTGCTTATATTTTTAATTACAAGTCATTCGCTTTTCCTCACTGTTGCTAAAATGTAGGTGGGGTAAAAATAAATCTCTGGTTAGTCACATGATATCATACAAATCGTAGGTATTTTAACTGGGTTACAGGAAGTAATGATGATCACAACATGGAGTGCATTTGTTTGATTGTAGTCAGGAGCTCACTCGGTGGATTTGTCCCCTGAAGATTGAGAAGAAGAAAAAGAAAAAGGAGCAGGTATTAGTTCAACAATATTGTGTGGGCACAAAAAATGGGGATGGTGATACATTGCTGAAATTCATCCTAGTCGACCAACTTAATTATTATAATGGCAGAACATGTCAAATACAGTTAAAACAGTCAAAAGTTACGCAGAACCAATTATTACTGTTAACCGTTAATCACTCAGTACATTTCTGTTTTTGGGATTTAAATGAAATCAGTCTTGAAAAAAGTGGAACAAGAGGATGAATCTTTTTATTTGACCAAAACAACCTGAGAAGTATAAATAAAGGATAAGTCTTTGTCCGTAAACCAAACTATAATCCATACTCACATACGACTGGCCCGACGGTGACGGTCTCCGTGGCAACAGAGCTGGAAACCGAACGAGACTTCCTGCTGCGACAAACCTGTGAGGGGTTAAGAGGGCAGAAAGACCTTTAAAGGGGACATATTATGCAAAACCAAGTTTTTAATAATTTGATTATGTACATTTGGGACTGTGGAGGGCCTATCAGCAGGCAAAGTGTGAAAAAAAATGACTCAGTCATATTTTTGTGGGCCGCCTCAGTCTGAATCCAGGAGATAAATCAGGAGGTTTCAGGAGTGGGTAGTTTCTGACGTCATTAGCTCTAGCTCATTATAATATTCCAGCCTTTCACCTGCATGTTGCCCCCCCCCCTCAGCTTACTCCCCTATCTGCGGCAGACGTCGTGGTAGCGTGAGCGTTAGCGTGGTAGCGTTAGCGTGATAGCGTTAGCGTGCCGACGTGGGCACACCTCCCGGAAGAAGTGGGTGGATTGCCTGTGTCTCATTTGCATTTAAAGAGACAGGCACTCCAAAGCGAGCGCTCTGAACGGGGCTGTTTTGGGTTAGGGTTAGGCTTAGGGTTAGGGTTAGGCAGGGGGACTGAACTGCTATTGGGCTTCATCCTTATGGGATTTTGACCAAAGCTTGTCACAGACATTACATTAGGACACCAGGGAGCTGGGTTAACTTGCTGAAATAGGGTATAATATGTCTCCTTTAAAACGCGGCTCTGAGCAGAACAGGAAGCTGAGTCTTACTGGGACGCAGTTGGAGCTCCTCCGGTCGCACAGAGTGAGGCCGCAGTGCAGATAAACGTCTGCGTATTCGTCCTGAAGAAGGAACAGTTGAGCGGCGAAGCGGGCCCGGAGGGACGAACCACTCTCAACCACCAACACCTGGCGGGGGTTTTCGGGACACCTGGCGGCAAGGATGGAGGTGTTAGATTTCGGCTATAATTACTCCCTTTAGCATTTCATGCTACGACTTAATCTATGTAAATGACTGATTGTCTTATTCCTTTTAGATTCATAATATTCCTCTCTAGAATTCTACTTTTGGGTTAAACTCTCTGGCTGGGCCTCCTCCTCCTCCTCTCACTGTTACAGTAGATACTCGTCTTCAAGGTAAACATACACACTTTCCTATCACATTCCACCAAAACCCGCATTAATTAGGACCTGGCCTGTTCATGTAAGAGCTAACTGGCCAATAACACTCGGTTACTTCCAGCCATCTTCCCTTTTCGAGAAGATCGAGGCTCTTGCCAACTGAGATCCCCCGGGAACTTTGTCAGTGAGAGCCCAGCGCTGATTTACTTTGCTTGTGACCAATAAAGGTCATATTTGTACTCTTGATCTACTCTGGTTTATTCTCAGGCTTCCAACAAAAGAATCAACCTAACAGAGGAGAACATCAGCCCTCTGCTGGGGCTCGGGGGGGGGGCCTTACTTTTCTTGGTGAGCGGGTATCGCATGGGATCTTCGGGGTTGGACGAGTGAGTGGCGAAGCAGGTTTCCAGGACGACGGCAAAATTTGGGTCTCTCTCTTCCACGGAGACGCCGACGTACAATGGCGAGCCCAGGGGGAGGGTGACCCGGCCTCCTGGGTAAGCCTGGGAGTAGTTGGAGTTGCGGAACAAAGACATGGAGGCTCTGGCTTTCGCCCCTGAACCTGAAACGCTGTCCTCCATCCTGTGAGGGAAATGAGTTTAAAGTCAGACCTCCATGTAGAAAGGCTACGATACTGTCATCAAAAATTAAACAAATAGTTGACATACAACCCTTAACAAGAATAGAAGAGTTGTGCATTGGAGACTTAAAAAGGAAAGGCTTTCTTTCTGTGTTTCATAACTGTGGGAATGCCTACAGGCTTTCTCACTATTGTTTTCCTGTTTCCCTTTATTCCGTACTTTTTTCTGCATCGAACTACTCCTACACCTTTCAGCCTATTTCAACAAATAAGGTATCAAAATGTTCAGCTATTTCAGGACTAAGCATCTCTTACTTTTGGTGATCAAATCTTCTTAACTTTTTAAGATATTTAACCTTTCATGCCTTATTCCTCTGATTGAAATGAATGGAGCAAAAAATATGGCTCCCTCTGCTGGTCACTGGCATTTCAGCCCCTTCGATTTTGTCTACGTATTCCTCTGTAGCCTTTCGGCCTGTGGTATAGCTCAGTGGTATAGCCCAGTGGTATAGCTCAGTGGTACAGCTCAGTGGTATAGCTCAGTGGTACAGCTCAGTGGTATAGCTCAGTGGTATAGCCCAGTGGTATAGCTCAGTGGTATAGCCCAGTGGTACAGCCCAGTGGTACAGCTCAGTGGTATAGCTCAGTGGTATAGCCCAGTGGTATAGCTCAGTGGTATAGCCCAGTGGTACAGCCCAGTGGTACAGCTCAGTGGTATAGCTCAGTGGTATAGCCCAGTGGTATAGCTCAGTGGTATAGCCCAGTGGTACAGCCCAGTGGTATAGCTCAGTGGTATAGCCCAGTGGTACAGCTCAGTGGTATAACTCAGTGGTACAGTCCAGTGGTGGAGCCTTTGACTCCAGATCCAGAAGTTTCTAGTTCAAATCCCACTTAAATTGTCTTGTTCCTTATCAATATTCTTATGGCCATTTACTCTTTACTTTTCTTCTAATCCTTTTACCTTTCTTATTCCACTCTTTAGTTTTCAGCTCTTTTAAATTATCCCTCCATTCAGCCTTTTTCTTCTCCATGGGACTTTTAGAAGTTATGGGAGCCATATACGAGGATCAAAGGGACTCAAGGTGGAGCTTATTAATGGATTTCTATTCATGTATTGCCTCGTTATTTTTCTCTGTCGTAATCTGAAAGGTTTTGTATATTTTTGGATCTAAATAAATGCAGGTTTGAATGGTGAGTGCATGAGTGAAAGTAGGTGTGTAAAAGTACATGTTACAATGTTAAGTTTGTTGTCTGTAGGTGTGTTGTGTTAAAAAGGAGAAAATTAAAGGAAAATATATTGGAGGAAATGCTCTGATACATAAAGTGAAAGGCTACTCACTCCAGATATGGCCTGATAGCCACATTCAGACTGGCATCTGTGTCCAGGGGGTAAGCGCAGGAGAAGGGAAGACCCACAGGAAGCACAAAGGACTCGTTACCTTTCGGGTAAACGAATAAGCTGTTGGCATAGACGGCATGTGTGCGGTTGGTCTGAAAGACAAGTGATCAAACCATCAGATCAGCCCGTGATGCTTTTCTATGAAACAGGATTTATATCCTAATTTATCCTCAAAAGTATTTGCAAGTCATAAGACCTTTGAGGACAATAAGGCAGAAGGTCATTTTAGTAACACAACACACTGTTAGCCCGATTCTTTAGTTGGAAACCTGAGAAGAAACCAAAGTGGATCAAAAGTATATAAATGACACAGTTAAGGGCTCTAACAGACACAACCAAGTCCTATTGGCTAGTTACCTCTGGGCATGAACAGGCCAGGCCCTAATTCATGCAGATGACTTTGGAATGTGGTAAAAAAAAAAAGGTGTGTGTTTGTGTTAACCTAAAGGTGGATTTAATGCAACAGAGAGAGGAAAAGAGAGAAAAGAGAGTCTGTGGACACAGCCAGAGAGTTTAACACAAAATATAGTTACAAAAGAAAAAAAAAAGAATCAGTAATCTACATAGATCATGTGATAGCATACAATGCTAAAGTGAGTAATTATAGCCAGATTATAACAACACTGTGAATATAATGAATGATAAAAAGTTGAAAATGAAGCACAGGTAACAGTCTGAACGTACGGTTTAACCGACGGTATCTTTAAACCACAGCCAGGACTGATAACAGTTAGAAGCGTGACCGTCTTTGCAGGATGCAAATACGTGGCTGTAATTAGGTTTCCGAGTTCAAGAAAGAGAGAAACTGAAGGGCGGTCAGGCTTTTACCTTCATTATGTTTCCACAGGTGTCTGCCTCGGTTTCCACTTCATACCAAACAGTGTCATTGTGCACTCTGACCCAGGAGCAGTTCCTGGAGGCCAAGTTTCCGGAGAATGGATTGAAACCAGAGGAATCCACGCTGGCAATGTGCAGTCCTACTTGGAGCTTATCCCGACCACAGATGAGCTCCGAAATGTGTATCGTGGGACGATGGACTGAGGAAAAACGGTAGCAAAACGACAGATTGGTGATAAAACAGACACTTTTCAAAGCAGATTATCCAGCAACATTTATTCCATTGATTGGTCATGTCACGTCTGGGGGAATGTCTGGTGTCTCGTCATGTGTTGATCACCTATTGTGTACAGCTGGGGTTCCCCTCCCTCATGTGTTTAAATAGTCCTCGTTTCCCATGTCCTGTGCGAGTTTTCATCTGTCGTCTTTCGGCTCCCCACGTCAGGTCAGGTTTGATTTTTGCCACAGCCATGCCACAGTCTTATTTACTTTGTTCCATAGCCATGTTTTTGCCATAGCCATGTTTTGCCACAGTCTTGCCACAGTTTTGTTAATCTTTATTTTGTTACTTTGCCATAGTCATAGTTTTGCCACAGCCTTGCTTTTTTAACTTTGTCTGGACATTCACTCTTTGTGAGTGCGTCTTTTTGTTACAATAAACCCTGTTTTCTGAATCTCTTCGACTGAGTCCTCCCTCCAAAATCCACCCTCCCTGACAGGTCGGTGATGGAGGTATTAGAATTTGGCTATAATTATTCACTTTAGCATTGTATGCTATCACATGATCTATGTCAATTACTGTTTTCTTTTCTTTTATAACTATATTTTGTGTTGAAGTCTCTGGCTGTGTCTACAGATTCTCTCTTTTCTCTCTCTGTTGCATTAGATCCACCTTTAGGTTAACACACACACACACCATTTGTTACCACATTCCTGTCATCTGCATGAATTAGGACCTGGCCTGTTCATGCCCAGAGGTAACTGGCCAATAGGACTTGGTTGTGTCCAGTCTTCCTTTGAGGAGGCGGATCGAGCCCAGGAGATAACGCCCATCACCCAGATCTCAGGGCTCTTTGCCCACTGAGACCCAGAGAGAGGTTTTTGTCTGTCAGAGCCCAGCTGATACACTTAACTGTGACCCAATAAATGTCATTTTTTATACTTTTGATCCACTGTGGTTTATTCTCAGGTTTCCATCTAAAGAATCGGGCTAACAGAGGAAAACACTTACAATCACACACGACGCTGGCATCTTCATGATGACCACAGTTGTGGACCCCTAACCCCCGGTGTGGGCAGGCTGTAATTGAGGATTCGCTTCCAGAACATCTGACATCATCCAACCAGATGGGTCCTCTGCCCTGTCCGAAGGCTGCGCTCTGTAGGGCTGAGAGGGCTCTTCCACAGCCCAGCTGTCTGCACACCACCTGGGCGTCCACCAGGTCCCAGGAGTCGTCACAGACCGTCCCCCACTGCCCACTGAGGAAGATCTCCACCCGGCCAGAGCAGGAGCTGTCAGAGTTGACCAGCCTCACTGGTGACCCAGCTGAAACAAAGAGGGATCCGTTGGGATTTGGTGGGATGTGCTGAGCAGCCTCTGGCTGAGGTCTGTAGGAGCCTCGATGGGATGTCCGACTCCTCCCACATCCAAGTCGGCCATTTTGATTAGGTCATGTGACTAGCAGCCTTCTGAAGTGGAAACGAAACTTTACAGTCTATAAGAAATCGGAAGACAAACAATGTCCTTACCCTAAAACAAACCCTGACCCTGACCATAACCCTAAACCTGGCCCTGACCCTAAATTTAACCCTGACCCTAATCCTAAACCTGACCCTAATCATGAACCTAACCTTAAACCTAACCCTGACCCTAAACTTAACCCTGACCCTAAACTTAACCCTAACCCTGACCCTAAACCAAAACTGACCCTAACCCTCCACCCTTCATAATTGTGAGAAAAACTTAAACTTGTTAAACTTGTTTGGACTTATCGTACAAACCTATTTAACATCCACTATTTTAACATAATATTATGGATAGAGTTTAATTCAGTGTTTGCAAGATTCATTTCATTATTCTCAAATTAATGTCTATATTGCCATGAAGCAATTACCATTTTCTTGCCTGGGATCTTCCTATTGGTGACCTAATCAAAATGGCCGACTTGGAAGCACTGAGCAAAATGACAGGTTTTCCTGAGCCTGACAGCATTTGTGTTTAGTAGCAAACCCGTATCTCACCTTCACAGACGACCCCGGCGTCCTCCCTGTGACTACAGTCGTGGGATCCAAACCCTCGGTGGCGGCACTGGGAGAGCTCTGATTCGCTGCCTGAGCACACGACGTCATCCAACCAGATGGGTCCGCTGCCCTGTCCAAAGGCTGCGCTCTGTGGGGCTGAGAGGGCTCTTCCACAGCCCAGCTGTCTGCACACCACCTGGGCGTCCACCAGGTCCCAGGAGTCGTCACAGACCGTCCCCCACTGCCCACTGAGGAAGATCTCCACCCGGCCAGAGCAGGAGCTGTTCCCCCCATCGGCCAGGCGGACCTGGCCCTCCTCGCCAGAGCTGGGGTCCACTGTTGCTGAAGTGTTTTCAGTCACCAGGGGGTCAGAGGTTGGTATAGATGTGGTCGATGGAAATTCTGGACCTGGTGTTTTTACCTCTGTAAAACAGAACATTTGATCAGAATCAGAAATGCTTTCATAATCCCAGAGGGAAGTTATTTTTGTTACCAACTCCAGATATACAACAGCACATACATCTCTATATATATATATATATACAACAATCCACACAAAATACAAATAAATTATACACATGCAGGAGTTGTGTCACGTCTGGGGGAAATGTTGGTGTTTTTGTCTCGTCTCCATGTCGTCTTGTCATTTCCTGTTTTATTTTGAAAGATACATCCCCTTGTTTCAGGCCACTTGCACTCCCATGTGTGTCACATGTCTGCTTGTCTTCCCTGATCACCTGTTGTGTACACCTGGGGCTCCCTTCCCTCATGTGTTTAAATAGTCCTCGTTTCCCCTTGTCTTGTGCCAGTCTGTTGACTAACTGTGCAGCCCTCTTGTCATAGAAACCATAGTCCTTGCCCTTGATTCCTAGTGCCTCTCTCGAGTGCCTTTTTGAGTCCTGGTCTCCTAGCGATTGTGCATCCTAGTGAGTATTATTTTGTTACTTTGAACCTCGTCTTATTTCCTCGTTAGCGAGTGATTTTGATTAACTACTTTGTTCCCTCCGTGTGGAGTGTATTTTTGTTTTACTTTGTTTCCACTCTCCGAGAGTGCGCCTTTTGTTGAAAAAAATTCTGTTTTTGATTCGACACTCTGCGACTGAGTCCTCACTGAGCTCCAGATCTTGTCAAGTTGTAGAGATGGGATGTGGACGGTTGTCTCCTGAAAAAAGTATGTTTGATGATTAAACATAAATGAGACAATACCTGTGCAATATGCTAAAGCGCATATAGTTGGTTTTGTAAGTTTGTAGACGTAATATTGTCCATAACACAGTTTGATATCAATGGGCTTTAGTGGATTAGCACAACAGGAGCCCCCAAAAGATGGGCACACAGGGCGAGTTACAATCCCGTCTGACAGAGTGGGGTGAGCTCCATCGATCCACATCGGAGCGTGGGTCCCGCAGCTGTACGCAGGTACACACTTGTCTGGAATCTGAGCATTGTTTTGCCCCAAAAACATGCGATACCAGCCCTGCCAGTCAGTTTGAAGATCACAGCGTATGATCCCGTCCCCTGAGCTGTTCAGGGAGCGCCAGTCATCGTCCACCACGGAGTAGAGCTCACAGGGGTCGGCGCATTGGGCGCTGCCATTGTGCGTGATGCAGTCCAGGCCGAACGGACAGGTCACGTTTCCACAGACAAACCGGGCAGAGGGGTCTGGGCCCGAGGCTCTGGGGGAGGGCAGCCGGCACTCAAAGGAGCCGGGCGTGTTGGAGCAAACCCGCGGCGGCTTGCAGGGCGAGTCCGGGAGCGAACATTCGTCCACGTCCAGGCAGCCGGCGCCCGGGGACCAGCGGTAGCCCGGGCCGCAGCAGGGGCGGCCGGCACAGGCTTCTGAGGAGTAGCAGGCGAGGCCGTCGCCCACAAAGCCGTCCTTACAGACGCAGGAGAAGAGTTGGCCCACAGAGTCGCCTCGCCCCCGGACCTCCAGGCATCTGGCCTCGCCGTGGCACCCGTCACAACTGGTGACGTCTGCCCCTGGGAACGGGGGGAGAGAGATCGATGGACTTGAGTTTGATATTAAATCTGTACATCAACCCATCCATCCATCCATCATCGTTACCACTTACTCCCTAAAAGGGAGAACTGGAGCCTATCTAACCAGTGGTTATATCTATCTATCTATCTATCTATCTATCTATCTATCTATCTATCTAT